TGACGCCAGGAGGTTCAAAAGCAATCTTAACCTGGGTCTTCATATAAGGATGCTTTATACCAATTAAGTTTGATACAATATGTCATTCCTTAAACTCTAGTTCTTGTCTGGAAACCTTTTTTCTACTTTTAGTAACAATGACCTTGACCCCAGGGGGTTCAAAAGCAATCCCAACCTGGATCTTCATATAAGTTTGCTATATACTAAGTTTGATTACAATATGTCATTCCCAACTCTTGTTACTGTCTGGAAACCATTTTTCTATTTTTAGAAACAGTGACCTTTACTTTAGGGGGTTCAAAAGCAATCTCAACAGAGGTTTTTACATAAGTTTGCTATATACCAAGTTTGACAAGCCGACTCCTATATATTACCCCCTAAACTTTGTTTGTAGGGGTTTAATAATACATGTCTAAACAACTAGACTTTAAAGAAATCATTATAAAATAGTACTGGTATTAATGCTACGCCAGGAGCTCAAACTCAGAAATAATAAGATTCCTAGGTAAATTTAGAGAGTTTCTTTTACAAAACAAGACTACATGAGATGAAGATAAATTAACTTAATTGTACAAACAATGTAGAATTTGTATCAAAACAAAGTTAAAGTTAGATGTTTGGCTCCTAAAAATTTAAAAACATTCCGACATGTCAAACTTAACTTTAGAAACTGTGGTTATCATTTTAAAGATTGTTCCTTTGACTTTAATTTATCTTTAATGAATTTAAGGACAGAGCCTTGTTGCCTAATGTTACTGCAGTGAAAAACCATAATTAAGTCCTAACAAATTTCTTTTCTATTTTAGACATTTTCCATTAAATGATTGACATCTTCCATTATATGATTAACATTTTCCATATATGATTAAGAAACATTTTATATTTACTATAATAAATAAATATTAATAAACGCTTATGTAACTCACAAACCTTCAAGAGACATTTAATGTACATCCATCCAGAACAATAACTTAATACTTTTGCACAAACCTCTAGAATCACTGCATGCCCATTTCTTTAATTCAATACAGTAATCTCTTTCATTCTACCAATACGCTTGTTTTCTTGTGCTCATTTCTATTTGATAACAAAACGAGAAATAAAAAACATCTCCGAACAAATCAAAGTATTTTATTATTTCTATAATAAAACTAGAGTAATTATAGTTATTAGGTTCACGAGATTATGAATTTGTTCATTTCTACATTCATAAAAGGAACAATACTTGTTGTTTTATTGGGCTTTTGCCGACAGCTGAAAGCCGTAAAATCGCAGCGAAGGAACTTAATTATCAATATAACAATCTACGATCCAAAACAGACAAGCAATAAAATTCTCATACTTCTCTGTACGATTGTGACGGATGAAATATTGTTATTGAAATTGAAAATTCCATATCAAATATATCATGGAAATCCCTCCAATACGACTGGGTATACAGGCAATAATAGAAAACAATATCAATCTGCTTTGAGAAATATGATCAATTATAAAAAATGTGACACGAAATGCTTAGCAGGTAACACACGTAAATGTATTATCGATGAAAATAATTGAATTGATTGAGCGATGGCATCGTCGATTATTTCATTGTTCCCAAAGGAACAATAGCTGGAAACAGCAGGTGCTCCAACGAGACAAATAATGAAGTAATTGGACATTTTCGCATCTAATCTGTTCGTATGCCAAGTACACAGTAGGAAATGATATATACATCAACAATGGTAGGAAATAATAAACTATCCCCCACGGGTCAATACACAAGGAAAAGCATCGGGACACCAACTGTTACGCCAAAGTCGTGTTGACATATAGATGAAAAATTTGTCTTCCTTTCAGCACAATATATAGATCATTGCAGAATAAGATGTACTCCCACAGAGAAAAAAAAATTAACCAAGAATGTGACAAATATTATAACTGGAACCAGAACAAACTTTTGAACACTATCTATATAATTAGCTAACAAAACAGGACATGTAACTCTTAACAGCAGTCCGGGCTTTTTTTCCTTATTCCTAATAAGTCATGGATAATAGTGTTTTACAAAATACAGGCTTTGTATAAACATGTAAAATATCAGCACAACATCAATTTATTTGATAACATTGAAAACAAATTATAAGATGTAACCTGGTAAGGTAATGCAGCCCACACTCCAACGTCACAATTATGTTATTCTACATAACGTCAATGGTTCATTAGTTTTTTGTTGTTTTTTTTTGTTTTGATTTTTCAAAGTTATCATCTGTGTAGCCTAGCTTAGAATACACTTTTGATATCAAGTCTTCACAGTCAATTTTTACAGTCCAAAATTTTCAAGATATTGCACTGTTTGATGTCTGCCTTAATAATCATGTTTTCAACTTAATTAGCCAATGTACATTGATGATGATCATGGTATGATTATGAACAGCCCATGTTGGTCACCTGTTAGTTATGTTCTTATGGAACGTCGGTAGTTCTACTCAATAATGCACGGAAGGGCACCTGAGGTCTTCCTCCACCAGTAAAGCTGGAACGGCGCGATATGACCTATACTGTGTGGATGTGAGGTAAAACCCAAAACAAACAAACAAACATATGTTCTTATGACACTTGTTCATCAATGCTGAACATTTTAGTTCTAACTTTTTAAACATGATCATAGGTCACGGTCATTCAGCACTAAATGAAGAAAAAGATAACGGTTTATGCTAGGCCGCGTCAGAATCAAAACATTGCTTATTGAGGTACTGTATTTAGTACCAATAAATGCCAAAACATACTCATAAATTTATTTCAATAATGATAAAGTTTCTTTTATCATGCAAAAGTTTATATTTGCCTCTTATGCCTATGCTAAAATATTGCATTTCTCTTGGAATCATCTCTTTAATTAACAGCTTGACTAAATATAGATCACGACTCCAGATTAAGAAGACAGTTTGTCAGTTTTGTCAGGAGGGCTTGAGCTCTTTCAAATTTAAGATCAAGACTGGTTTTCAGTGTATGTGTTTTCAGTTTGCACGTGTACATTTTCAAATTTGTCGTAATAATAACAAAATATCGTAACTTATCGTAATTAATATGCATATTTTCAACACGTTAGCTAGTGCAGACAATAATTTATCACATTTCTTCCTTTAGGGCTAAAATGACATTTCATTAGTGTTATTGTATAGCTGCTAAAAAAAACGAACCCCAACAATGTTGGTCTAATAGTTTAATATGTAATGTTTTGTTTTTTTTATTTCAAAACTTGATCCCTAGAATTCTTGTTTTTTGTTGTTGTTTTTTTCCTTTTTGTTTTTGACAGAGTTAGAAGTCACAGTGACAGTACAACATTTGCAGTGAAACGTGACATTATTTCATGAGCATTAAATCTAGTAGTCGCTATTATTTATTAAACATGACTCATTAAAATTAATTTTTATAAACCATATTTGAAGTGCACTTTATTCAAGATTATTTATAGTAAATAAACACTAAAGAACATGTGTGAGTGTGACGTAAAAGTGAAAATGGTCAGGTATGGGCATGCTCATCAAGACATCAACAATATTTTTAAAGTTTCGAGAATTGTATTATCTAGTATATAATCTCTGGACCACCTTTTGGTCATCAAAAAAGGATTCTTAGTATTTTACAATAGTCCAACTAATTGTACTGAGTGACAGGATATTGTGCTATTTTGACCCAGAACCAAAGTATCTCAGAATCTAGCTTTGGCATGTTAATATATTTTGACTAGGCCTACAATTGGCCTAAAAAGTTATGTTAAATTAAAGAATAAACAGATAAATACTCATCTGATTTAAAAAAAAAGACATGAATGATGTTTGGTAAAAAATTATTTTAATGTTTGTTTGCTTTGTTTGTTTGTTTGGATTTTAAGTCACACCGACACAGTATAGGTCATTCGGCGACGTTCCAGCTTTACTGGTGGAGGAAGACCTCAGGTGCCCTTCCATGCACTATTTCAGGCACGAACGGGCACCTGAGTAGAACCACCAACGTTCCGTAAGCTAGCTGGATAGCTTCCTCACATGAAAGAATCCAAAGTCCCTGTTGGGATTCGACCCACAGCGGTGAGGGGCAAGTGGTTGAAAGGCAACAAACTTAACCACTCAGCCACGGAAGCCCCTTCATGTTTGAAAATATACAATGTGTCGTATTAAATTACCGGTACATATATTTTATATGAACAAGGGATGCAACTTCATTAATCATACAAAACATGTAAATTATTACCAATGAATCTCTAAATGAATCATTTCACTTTTCTTAAAATCTTCCAAGTTTGATTTTCTTGAAATATTTTCGGCTCATCTGGAGGCATGCAGCTTTAAAATATATCAATGAAACATATCCTTAAATTGAGCATGAATATTTAGATTTTAAACACAGATTGTACCGTTCTTGTAACACTCATGGGGAACTGTATATTCATTGAAACAAACCTTAATCCAAGTTAACTTATATTATGTGTAATTTCCCAACTTTTCTATTTCAAGCTACTGATATTTATACCCATCTGAAGGATACGAATATGTTTAAAATTCAATATAACTAGTTATAGCTGCACTGAAATTTTGCAATAACATTCTATAATTATACAAATTGATATAGATCTATTATATCAAATAAAATGTCTTTATAATGTATGTTTAAAATACAGACTATTTAATAATATACATACAATAATTACACTATTCAGCCAAATGGCAAACTTTGACATCTCTATATCAGGGACTGGTAGTACTTACCATTAATGACGTTGCATCAATGTAAATCCAAAACTTGTAAAGCTATAAATACTTAATCGTAACTATATTAAATCTTAATCACATTATATTAAAATGAGCAAAAACGCGAGAGTTTAATAATTTTAAGTATCCGTTATGAATTAATATTTTAGATTAAAACTATAGGGAAATACACTTACACGTCATAAAGGCACTTGAGAAGAGTGAAAGATTAGTTCAAGATAACATTATCTCACAAATAAAATGGGTCACCTGAGGGGCATTTTTGCTTTAAGCTGAACTACACGTTGTCTGTTGTCATCATCGTACAATATGAAGATCTTGATCATATAGTAATTTTCATACAGTGCATGCCTGAAAAACAAACAGATAAAAATCATTATTTAATTAGGTCAAGTAATTTAATGTGTGTTTCATGTCCTAGGTGGATCATCGAAGGATAGTCATACAATAACTGTCTGGTAGCGAAAGGAAAAGTGAAGAAAAAAATAAAATACCGTAGTTCTATATGTAACAAGGTATATTAATTTTCTCACAAACCGCACTAACTTTAATAATATATGGATTGACACTCAGCTGCTATTAACAACACTACAAATATTCCCTGGTCTTAAAGCTCCACGCCTCCAGATTTTTATGAACATTTAAAAGTAACTCTAATTGATGAAAATGTTGTTGTCACAATGTACAAACAAAGTGACTCAAAGGGATCTTCTTATAATCCTTACTAATCCAAAATAAATACCTATATAACATATCAAAAATATCCAGAACTTAAAGGCACATTTATAATGCCTCAGAAACGAATAAAATTTTTCCTTAACGTGAGTTTATTGTGTTTAAATAGTACTTTACGAGCATGTAGATCGAGGTTTATTCACTGAAGAAAGTGGTGCTAATGTCAAAATTTATTTGTAATGTTTAAATAAAATAAAAACAAAGTATTCAAAATACAAAATCACTATAACCATGATAACCAGAGGCAACAGAATATTGGTTCAGTTAAGGATGTGACAGACTGACCCCATTATTTTCTGCTTAAAATATTTCTTTTATCATATTCTAACAACATGCCAAGTTTTAATATAAAGAAATTGTATTGAACAGTTTTTAAATTTTGCCTATATGTCTGATATGAAAACTCCCAAAAACATCCTTAATAAATTGTTAAAAAAGTAAATTTTTGGAAATGTAACTAGAACAGGACACCAAGAACTTTTTTGAGAAAAAAAAACTTTCTGAGACATAATGGGCCTTTAAGCCCAAACAAGTAATATAACAAATAATTTAAAGAAAATTTGGCGATTTCATACTCTGCACCATTATATCAATAAAATATGCAAAGAGCAGTGGGTTAATTGGATTGTAAATAATTTTACATTATTTTTTGTCACAATGATATACTTAAAATATATTTTCTTAACCCTTACCCTGCAAAATATCTTTGATGGAATTTCATCCATCTTTCAATCAGGACAAAACTTATATGATAATGTTGGCCGTTTAATCATAGTGGGCTAAGAGTTGAAGCTTGATATTTTGAAAATTTCACAACTTATCTGGGGGAAAACAGCTTTAATGAAGAGCATCAATGTATATCATCATAATCATATGATATTCAGTGGCTGACATATTAAACACATGCCTGCATAGATAATGAACGACCATAAATTAACGTAATTTTTGAAATGTTAATTAGTTCTAAATTTAGACACAAAGAACATAAAACATTTAAACTTTAAATATGCACCGTATCAATCAGCTTTGTGCATAATACATATTACAATTTTATGGCCAATTTTGAAATATATGATGTTTTCATTTTAATAATTGCCTCAAGCTACCTGCCAAAGGTTTCTTGCTAAGTGAGGTTACTGCATACAACTTTAAGGTACTAACAGAGTGAACAGAAACCGAAACTTGAGCAAATGTTATTTAAGAAATAATTTAAATTTTTCTTTGTCTAACACGCATGATGTACAGCATACTTAAAACTATGTGAAACTGAGACTCACTTGGCCTATACTGGTCACATAGTCAGCTATTTCCATTTACGGTCAAGTAATGCCCCTTCAGCAATAATATTTTACTACATGGAGTAAGCTCCCCTTAAGCAATCTATAATATCATCATCATTGTTTTGAAATGTTTTCACACCCAATTTTTGACAATTTGATTATCTTAGCTGCATGTAAGTTAAACCATTTAATAAGTCATAAATATTAAATGGTTTAACTTACATGTAACTAACATTGAAATATAGTGAACAAACTTACATGTAACTAACATTGAAATATAGTGAACAAACTTACATGTAACTAACATTGAAATATATAGTGAACAAGTAAGGCTTTCAGCATTACTGTACTAAAGTTAAATTTAGTCACTGATCATTACTTTGGACTTCAAGCATTCACTCATTATATAATTTAAATTAACATCAATGGACTAGAAATGTTTGTTCAAGATTTCACTTGATGAAGGTCTGTACTAATATCTTTTGTGTAAAATTTTATATCATTCCCTCAATCTGTTTTCCCTGAAAAATTATTTACATTGACTGTGCAAATTAATTTATGACCAAAAATTTAAAAGCGTTGCACCCAAACTGGACTAAAAATTGTGCAAAAAAATAAATTTTCAATTTTACTTGTGAGTAATTTCTTTTATTACTTTTTTTAGGGCAGATTTTTCCATTTTAATTCTATAGCTTGATCTACATGTATGTAAGAATTTCAAATTTTAAGTTTTTCAGGATTTTTGACCTGACAGTCGGGCTCACATATCAAATTAGTAATTCTCTTTGGTATATATAAGCTATAGTATCCTAAATCATGAGAGTTAAACTGATTTAACACCATCTCAGGTTGCATTTTTCTTTCACATGTTGATCTTATGAGGCTCTTTTTCTTTTGTTTTTGGAAAATTCAAGTAGCAAAAACCTGATACAACAAGAGTGCCATGATGGCCCTAGAATGCTCATCTGAGTTACATTATGCTCGAAAAGGTCAGAAATCTGAATTCTAGCTTTTCAATGTGTTGTGGTGATGAAAAAAATATGGTTAATAAGTGGTTTCTAAAAATAGAAGCAGGCCTCTATCCCACTTGGCACCATTGTTGTGGTGTTGAAAATTAAAACCTTTTTGATTTCTATTAATAGAATTAAGTTACTTATTACCTAATGTTCTTAGTTTGCTCAGGAGTACTCTTTAATAGGGAAAAATTTAATCGTCAGGATGACACCACCCTTTGAATGCAAAGGGAAATAAAACACAAATGTTGAATAAATTTAAATCAACCAAATTTTTAATGAACTAAGTTTTTATTTACACTAAAATAAAAGTTACTTAAAACTAAACAAGTTGACAATAAGTACTGTAATATAAACTGTTAATATTTAAACCAAAAATATGATAATCATAATAAACTAATTGAATAAAAGATTTAAACCAGTTAAAAGTTGTTTAAACTGTAATCACTAAAAATATGAAAAATAACCTTAATGATTCTGTGCTGTTAAACTAATAAACCTAAATAGTAGCAAGCCCTGTTTTAATCTATAGCAACAAAAATAAAGATCTAATAATTCAAGATGGCTGCCACTTAAACAAAGAAAAAATATTAGTTAATCTTAATTAATTCTGTAAAAAATAATTACTTAAATTACTTACAAATTTATCAAAAATGTTTCAGTGAATTTAGATAATCTCTAAGGTTCATTTAAATGCCAAAGTGCCTAAAATAAATTAAATAATTAATTAATTAACCTTAGAGAGCTTTTAGAGGTCTTACTTTTCCAAAAATTAGCAGCAGAATGTCAAAATTGCCTGAGATGCTTGTATAAATGTATTTCTGAATCCCAGAGGGAGCTAGCATCTACCTACAGGTGGCACTGAATGTAACAACTTATCTGATTGGTCAAATTACAGCCAATCAGAATTTACTTAACAAAATACTCTAGGCTTATCAGTATTTTACATAACTATTCTAAAAATAGATTATGATTCTTGGAAAATTTTGCAGCAGCATCATTGACCATGATTATAAAAACATAAAGTTTACAAAAATATTTGTACTAACAATAAAACTATTAACTAATGTCAACTAAACATATTTACCAACATATATAAATGCTAAATCAGTAACTTGTATCCCACTAAGTTTAAAGGCCAGTATAAGTAAAAGTAGAACCATTCTCTATATGTTGTATATAAAGAGTCTTAGGCCATGCTTAGTTACTGTTAAAGAGTGTATCAATAAGTTCTACAAATTATAATTAACATTAAACTATAATGAATGATAAGAATGAAATGTCTATAAAACAATACATATTCAATATGATTAAACTTAAACCTAAGTTAAAGTTTAAACCCTTAATATTTCTTGAAAAATATGTATGAAGGTTATATATGATTTACTTCTTGAGTAATATTATACAACATTATGTAAGGATTATGTAAGCTGTTGTAAGTGGAATCCAACTTTACAGCAATACACCGGTTTTGGAAAAAGAAAAAAATTATTGCAAAAAGCAATAAATTTTTTCCAAGATAAAACTTGAACTTAAAGTGTATTAAACATACTTCAAAGAAATAGCATATTATCTTATCAAAAATGTTCATGTCAATATGATATATGGATGAAACTATAAAGTATAAAACAATAAACTAACAAATCTACTTAAAGAATGAATAAAGAACATATTTACAAAAATATACAAGCATGCAGTCAATGTGAGTTATTATGATTGTCAGATAACATGGAAATAGGAAAATCTTAAGATTAAATCTATGCATCATGTAAATACAAAAATGACAATATAATAATTTTTATAATACAAATGTCTTTTCCTGGAATGAAAGAAGTGTTATTATAATATATATAACATGATAACAATTTAAAATGTTATTTCTTCTTTCTGTCAACATCGGGTCTTCTTTTTTGTCATGTTCGGGTCTTCTTTTTTTTTTGTCATGTTCGGGGTTTACTAGTGTGCTGACACAGCCACCTTAAATGTTCATACTGTGCCCAATGTCTTTGCACTATATTTTGTCACAATTGTAGGATATGATATTTAAGCGCGATAACTGTTATGTTTAAAATAAGTGCTTGATGGCACAACCACCTTAAGTGTTCATTGCACCCAATGTCTTTGCACTATGATTATTTAAATTTTGCGCGATATCATTAATTTGTCTCTCAGATGTACGATTTGGTAATTTGTTTCTCAGATGCGTGATTGAATTATGCTCAGATGCGTGATTGAATTATGCTCAGATGCGCGATCTATGAATTTATTTAACATTGCGCGTTATTCTTTTTACTTATATCAACACTATATATTACACTATTCT